TGTTGTATTGCAAGAACGTTCAATGAATAAACCTCACATTCTTTTCCTGTCTAACATTTCTTCCCTACGTTCCTTTACCTATAGTTAATCATTCCTTACACAAACTACCTGTTGAAACTCAAACTGTAAATGTCATTCTACCTTCCCCTATCTGGGACATATTTGATATATACTAATATCTAATGAGTCTATTCTTTTGCTTTCTTTTTCTGAAAGGAATTAAACTCATACCAAAGGACAACAGGGACTGGTTGTGAATGTGTACACGGCTTTAAAATAAGGTAACACTTACTAAACTGCTGTGTGACTAGTTATTTTAATACTTAAAGTCTTTGCACTACATCAGTTGGAAAGGAACTCAGTTGTGTTGTGTTTTTAGGGATTGTGTGTGATTTTATGGATTTTTGTTAGATCCATGGGGCCCACGATCAGGTTAAAATGCCTCTATCCAGTGAAAAAACATTGTGTTCTCCCTCCTCAGTCCCTGTTACTCTGAACCTCAGCACTGTACATCCAAGACTCCACTTGTCTGATGATCTTAACTCAAGGACACACTGGGACATCCAAGTTTACATGCACTCAATAATCCGATAATTGCAGAAAATCTGATTTTGTCAGTAATCCGATCAACACGTTTACATGCTCTTGAGTAATCAGATAATGGGGAAACTCGGGGTCTACATGAGTCAGGCAGTAATCAGATTTCTGCTTTCAGGTAACTGTAGAAATCCGATTATGATCAGATTATTGAGTGCATGTAAACATACTCAGTGTTGAGAGAAAAACTGGTTTCAATAACAGAGTCTGAACTCGTAAAGGTAACTACAAGGTCTTCAGTGCAAACTGGTTGAGCTGTTCTTAGGTTATAGAAGTGTGTAATTAAACTTTGGGCCCACCAATATGACCTGGCCATTTAGAGAAAGTGCAGAGAGTCAGAGTGCAGCTGATTTGCTCTTCACTTACTTAACTGTGCTCAAATGGAAAAAAAAAACAAAAATTTAAAATAAATGAGTCTGTTTGGTTAATATCCTGGGTGCTCCAGCAACCCAACGCGACCCAGAAGGATAAGCGGTTTAGATGATGTGTGTGTGTGTGTGTGTGTGGTGTGTGTGTGTGTGTGTGTGTGTTTGGTTAATTGATTGACTAAGCAATTCAGTGGGTAATTACTTTCCACACAGTCTCAGTTGCTGTTGGATATCTTTTTTTCCTTCAATAAATGAAATGATCATTTAAAAATGTATTTTGTGTTCAATAAACAAAGTTAGCATTTAGAAACTACATGAACAAACAGATTGGGACATCTACACATCACACCTACAGGAGCTTTTATGACATCCCATTCTAAATTCACAGGCATTAATATGGAGTTGGTCCCATTTTTGCAACTATAACAGCTTCCTCTGAGAACTTTCTACAAGATTTTGGAGAATGTCTGTGGGAATCTTTGCTCATTCATCCAGAAGAGCATTTGTGAGGTCAGACACTGATGTTGGACGAGAGGGCCTGGCTCACAATCTCTGTTCTAGTTCATCCCCAAAGGTGTTTGATTACAGTTGTCACAGTGCAGTCAGGCAGGTAATGTTCTCCTGGCATTCACCAATCCCAGACTCATTGGGCGAAAGGCAGGAAACACTCTGGACAGGTCGCCAGTGCATCGCAGTCTCACACACACACACACACACACACACACACACACACCTAGGGGAAGTTTAGTATCTCTAACTGGCCTGACTGCATGGCTTTGGACTGTGGGAGGAAACTAGAGTACCCAAAAGAAACCCATACAGGGAGAACATGCACTCCATGCAGAAAGGACCCTGGTCACCCAGTCGAGGAATTAAAAACTCTATTTAAAAGCTTTGAATTTCTCAGGTAATCTTTGTCTTATATTAAATTTTATTATAAAAATGTTTTGCAAATGTGCAAATATAGAATAAATCAATGGGCCAAATTCTAGAACAGTTAAGACATCATAACTTAAAAATAACGTATGTGGGATTATGCAGGGATCAATAATGTGTTTTGAAAGTGATAGAGAGACACTCACTACACATGGATTGTATATACTGTTGCGAATGACACACACTCCTGGGCAAAAAATAAATAAATAAAAAGTAAAAAAAATGGCAAACATTTAGCTTTAATGGTCTTAACAACAAACCATTAAACAAATAGATAAAGTTACTTTCCTCTGATTTCTTTAAATGTTAAAGTTTTCTGTAAATTTTAAGACGAGCTTTACAGAAAGAAGAGTCAGTGTTTTTCCACTCAGCACTGATGGCTTCAAAACAGCTGAAAAACACTGCCGAGCTGGTTTGTGTTTAATGTGAGAACAAATATTCTCTATAGTGTTTTAATCTGGACTCTCGCCAGGCCAAAACCATCAGTGAAAACAATTAGATTTTAGGCTTGGCCCATTTTTCTGCCCAGGAGTGTACATGTAAAGGTTCTTACAAAAAATGTTTATCAACTTTAAGAAAATGATCTTGGCTAATTTAGTTGTACATGAACAGTTCCCATCTACTTGTTCAGCTCCTCCCTCTCCAAAGCCCCTCCTCCCTTCTGCAATCCAATTCTGCAAGAAACTGAAACTCATACTGCCTGATTCTTTGATCCTCATTCCAGCTTACCTCGGCAGAAAGACAGCGATACATACTCTTTTCTAACAACTCTTTTTTCATTCTTTATTAACATGGTGAGATAAAGGACTGCAGTGGCTGATTCTGAACACTTCTGCTGTGCTCAGTGCAGAAATCCATAAACTGTGAGTGACGTTTGGACAAAAGAAGCCATTAAAAAAGAGATCATCAGCTGTTGGAGACAATGACATCTAAACGCTCTCTAACAGAGGAGGATCTTTCATGCTGTGTGTGCTGTGACATCTTCAGGGATCCTGTTGTTCTGTCGTGTAGCCACAGTGTGTGTAAAACCTGTCTGCAGCAGGGAAACTAAGACCTCTTGAGAATGTCCAGTGTGTAAAAGAAGATCCTCTAAAGATTAGCCTCCTATTAATCTTGCACTGAAGAACCTTTGTGAGGCTCTTCTAGAGAGCAGGAGTCAGAGATCTTCAGCAGGGTCTGAGGTGCTCTGCATTCTGCACAATGAGAAACTCAGACTCTTCTGTCTGGATGATCAGCAGCCTGTGTGTGTGGTGTGTCAGACTTCAAAGAAACACAAAGATCACAAATTTTGTCCAATAGAAGAAGCTGTGACTGACTGTAAGGTATGAAAGTAACTCTGCTCATTTTGTCTTTTTCTTTTTTGATACTTTTTGTATTGAATACCAGTTACTTTTTAAACAGGCTAGATAAAGTCAGTGGGTATTCTTTCTTAGACAGGCTTCATTCCAACACTAATTGTCTATTTTATGAGGTCCACATACCACGTTTGTGCAATTTGTAGTCCCACAGTTTCAGCTTGTAGTCCATCTGTTTCTCTGCGTAGTGTGTCAGCTTTCCTTTCCCCCATTCACAAGTGGTCAGAACCCCAACCGGGTCACCACTGAGTAGGTGTTATTTGTATGGTGGATCATTCTCAGCACTGCAGTTGTACTGACATGCTTGCTTTCAGTTTTCAGGAAATCTGCTGGGATATTTTTCCATGTTTCTTGTAAACACATGCAGAGTTCAGTCGTAGTAAGTTGATTGCATTTTCTGCTCAGGTGTCAAAGTAATCCCAAACACATTCATGTGATGTTGAGGTCTGAATTCTGGGGTGGCCAGTCTTCAGCAGTTTCATTGTCTGAATATTCAAATCTTTTCTGTCCATTTTTTTTTCTCAGTAAGGGCTTCTTGACAGCTACACATCCTTTCAGACCCATAGCACTGAGTTGTATTCTCACAGTGGAAGGATGGACAGAAACGCCTTATTCAGATCTGAAACAAAAGTGGAGCTTGATTTTCTCCTCTTTTTAAGCCGAAGTGCTGCAGCAGATGGTGAGTAATTAGATAACATCAGCTTCTTTTAATGATCAGCAATCATCAGCAAATCAGAGCAACAACTAAATATTACATCACTTCCTAACTATATTCCAGCAGCTTGTAGATTCCACCTGCTGGCTGCAGTCTGGATGAGACGCGGCATTCCTAGTTCTTCCATCACTCTAGTGTCATAGGGTCACTAAATTTCTTGGCTTTAGGGAAAATTGCAAGGTATTTCTCACCCACACATTGGAACCTAGCAGCGAGTGCAGCATGCTTTCAATCAGTGTATGCCTTCATTCTTTGCTGGTGGTGAGATACTAGCAGTGGAAACAGAGCAGTAGATAAGGGTGGTACCACCTATAGAGACACTTGAAGTTGTAGCACAATACACATGCACAAAGTCAGTGACTGCAGTTTTCTAAGACTGGTTCTGCTGGATAGCTTGCTGGATTGTATGTTTAAGCATAAGGCTGAACCATTCAGTGGCTTCGTTGGCAGCAGGGAGGTAAAATGAGGAGTGATTATGACACATTTGCCTTTCTTCTAGGAAAGTAAACAGTCAGTACTCAAGGGTTGCCATGTAGGCTCAAAATATTAGACAAGAAGTCTTTTACAGTGGTCCCAAGCACCAGTGTTAACTTTTTACCATGGTCCATATGGAAGAGGTCTAGGCTGAAGAGCAGCAGGGTGGAGCTTAGGAAATGCCAGGCAAGGGCCTGCCAGACAGACAGTCGTTTGGAGCATTCTGGGAACCTAGACGATATAATTAAATCAAATGAGTTGAGCAGACTGTCTAGCACCACACTACCATGACTTATTCCACAGTTGGAGAAGATGTGGCACTTCACTTTAGCACCAGTACAGGGGCAAGTGGAGCATGACATCTGCTGGGAAGCAGTTCTCTTTTGCCAACTATTCTCCCCTGATAGTTGAGACATGTCCATGAGTGGAAATCTATTTGCACAATAGAAAACTCAGCCATTGCTATGAGAACATGTAGAGGCACAATCACAGGCAAACATCCAAGCCCAGTAATGTGAGACTTATTTCGCAAGCCTGATTGTGGGTTGTGTCAGTGGAATATTCTCTAAATTGATGCTGGTAGATTATGTTCGGCAGAATTATTTTTTATCTCCCTCTTAGAACTTTGAGGTCACATTGAGCCAGTAAGTAATAGTCATTCTACCCTTTTGGTCAGATTTTTTTAAATTAAATGTTCAAATCTACTGTATTTTTGGAAAAATGAAAGCATTTCAATGACATTATAGTGAATAAGGTTATTATTATTTAAATGACAAAACCAATAGTAGTAGAAATATTTATTTGATACTTTCTTGTATTTTCAGAGCTCAGCTCACACCAAAGGATCCAGAGAAGACATCAGGAGTTCTGATCAATGTTGCTAAACACCTTTCCAACCTGAAGTTCAGAGTGTGGGAGAACATGCAGGAGATTCTCCAGTACAGTAAGTTCTGTTCCCGCATAATTTGCTTCCAGACATAGAGAATTTTTTAACATTATTAAGAATGGAGCATTGAGTAAGGATAAGTAATAAGTACATATATGACCCAAGGGCATAACAAGTCATGTCCAGGCCTGTGTGCATGTAAAAAGTCTTATTTAGCATACATTCTGACTATATTAGGGGCGTGACCAGGTCCAGGCCATTGGATATAGCCCTGAACAATTGTTTTTTTCAGGCTTGCGATGGGTTTACACTTCCATGGCCTACTTAGCAAAGTTACTAGAGAGACAGTATAACTAAGATGGTTAAAACAGAGCTGAAGATGGTTATGCAAAGGTTTAAACATGCTAGCTAACTGCATCTGACTTGTCAAGTCTGCAAACAAAAGACTACTTTTGTGCACATTGCACACCAGTCAAACAGCCAAAAGCTCATATTACCAACTAACGATAAACAGCAAATATAATGACACACCTTATTGCAAACAGGAGAAACAGAGGTTTGTGTGTGCCACTGGTACTAATGGTGAGGTCTATCACTGTCACAGTGTGTTTTACTTAATTATTCATTTTATTATTATTAAAGTTTGTCCCTGTAGAGGATGTGTTAACATACTTTCACAGCTTGGCTTTATAAATGATCAAGTTTTAACCCACTAGAACTAAACCACAAACGTAGCAGAGTCGTTTTTAGGCAAATCTGAAGATGATGTATGTGTTCTCTCTCCTCAGCCCCTGTTACTCTGGACCCCAACACTGCACATCCAGACCTCCACCTGTCTGATGATCTCAGTGCTGTAGAATTTAGAAAACAGGGACCATCACTTCCTGATAACCCAGAGAGATTTGATAAGTGTGCATGTGTTCTGGGTTCTGAGGGTTTTAACTCAGGGACACACTGCTGGGATGTTGAGGTTGGAGACAGTGACTACTGGGAACTAGGTGTGATAACAGAGTCTGTAAAAAGGAAAGGAATCTCTTTCAGGGATTCAGTTTGGAGTCTGGAGTACAGTAAAAGCAGTGGTACATTCTTCATACGTGGCCCAAGAGAGCCAGATCACTGTGCCTCATCTAAAGAGCAGCTGCAGAGGGTCAGAGTGAAGCTGGACTGGGACAGGGGGAAAGTGACATTCACTGATCTTGCAAACTGTACACAACTGCACACAATTACAGACACATTCACTAATAGAGTTTTACCGTTTTTCTGTAACTGGGATGACTGTGCTCTGAAGATCTTACCAGTGAAGACGTCAATAATGGAGGAACAGCACAGTGCAGGTTAAAGTCACAGTAAAATGTATTTGTCTACCATAACATGACACATTTCTGACTAAAACAGGAGTCTGAGTGGGAAATAGCGTATAGCTGGGTCTTGATTTTATCCACTGGGAACAACAGTGGATAAAATCAAGCATTTAAAACATATTTGTATGCTTCAGTCATACCCTGGAATCCTATTCTACCCAATGGTGGACAGTAACTAAGTAAATGTAATTTGTTACTGTACTTAAGCAGTTTTTTTGTGTTTCGGTACTTTATTGAAGTATTTCTATTTTGGGCGACTTTTTACTTTCACTCCACTACATTTCAAGGAACATCAATCAGGGAACAGCGCGCTTTGTTTTGAGCTTGTTTTGACCTGTTGGTCATACCGACCCAGTGCAAGCATGCAGTTCAACGTCAGTGCAGCAGTGTAAAATTTTGGGAGAGTCTATTCAACATAAATGATGAACTAACCTAACTTTGTGTAAATAGACCACAGTATAGAAATATGTACACATATGCAGTCGTGACTGACGTGTCTTTTTTCTGAATTTATACAAACATTATTTCATTTTATAGTAAATTTGTTTTTGCTAGTTTATGTTTATGAACAGAGACCTACAGATGGAATACAGTAAAGGAAAACTCATTTGTGAACCTGAGTTTAAAGCAGGTTTTTATTAAACTTAAACTTGAAACTAAGTTACAAATAAATCTTAAACTGAAACTTTGCTTGTTTGCAAAAAGTTTTTTCAGAGCCACTCGGTTCTACCTAATGGAAATTGCCTTCAGTGTTTTGTGCTTATGATAATTTTAATAGACATCAGCGTCAGACTAATTAATGACATTCTATTAAAAGACTGGTTTACCAAGAGTGATGCTGGAGTATTTTCACCTAAAATGACTCTTAAAAATCCTACCAGTTTCAGCAGTCTTGTGTAAACTCCATGATTGCAACATGCTGTAAGACCATAGCTGAAATAAAAAGTGCTGTATTCCTTAAAATCTCCATGTCAGAATCATCCAAAGTGAATAACGTTTACTTAAATTCCCATTTGGCCTCTAAGTAATATTTCTTATCATCTTTGTAAAATTGTAATTCGTTACAAGTAATTCATACTATCACTGAGATGATGACTTCTTTACCATTAAACCATCAAAAATGAAAGAACAAGATGTCATAAATTAAGCTTCAAATAGCGCTAAAAGAGCTTATCTCATCCTGAGATCTAGCACCTCAGAAAGGCTTTTGCAAAGATAGTTAAAGAAGGTACAAAGTACATAGCTCAAAATAAAAAGACAAAATAAGATGCAACATGAAATTTTGAAACTATGGTGGGTTCTTGAGATGGTAAAAGACTTTTGTGTTGCTTTTACATGGCTGCTGAAATTCAGTTCTGAATCAAAAATTGTTATGCCAAGATTTCTGACTTTATCCTTAGTCCTCAAAGCTTTGGCACCAAGATGAGGACTAACTTTGAGGCTTTGCTCTTTACTATCAAATACAGTTACCTCAGATTTTATTTCTTTAGCTAGAGAAAGCTTTTCTCCATCCAGTCATTTACTGACTCTAGGCAATGTCATAAAATGAAGTCAATTGGATTGTAGTCATCAGGTGAGAGAGCTAAGTAGATCTGGGTGTCGCCTGTATAGCTATGCTAAGATACTTTTAAGGATTTGACCCAGCGGTAGTGTATAAAGATACAATACAAAAGATACAAGAACAGTAAGGGCCTAAGAATGGACCCTTGTGGAACACCACAGGTCAGTGTTTCCCTTTTAGATTTGTAGTTGATTGCAATGAAGTTGCACAGTTCTTCCACATATGTTTGGGACCATTCCAGAAAGCTCTACTCAGTTTTCCAGTCTGTCTGAAAAATGTTATAGCCAAGAGTATCAAATGCAGCACTAGAATCTGGCAACTCTAGCACAGATATTTTGCCAGTATCTGTGTTCATACAAATATCATTTAAGACTGTTAAGGACAGCTGCTGTGCTAAGATGATGTATACTGTGCTATAGGCAGTTTATACAACCTCTGAATTGTTTCCTTATTTAGAAATTATATATTTTTCTCTTCTTATTAATCATGTTGTTTACTTTCTCATAGCAGTAGCTATGTTAGTTATGTCTCTGGAGTAATCTAACTATTAACTCATATATCCCTTTTTTAATCATATTTTCTCTCTCTGAGAACTAGGAGTGTTTAGTTATGCACATTAAATGATTTAGTAAGCAAACTGTGAAGCCTTGTGTAACTATTCTTATGAAAATTCAGTATTTATATATAAAACACTGTGGCAAATGTAAATGAAAGTACAGCGTTATATGATACACAAATCCAAATTTATGGAAAATAAAACCAGACAATATATAAAATGTTGAAACTGAGAAATGTTATTGTTTTTTGAAAATTATATGCCAATTTTGAATTTAATGTCAACAACATCTTCCAAAAAAGTTGGGACGGGGGCATGTTTATGTTTCATCACCTCTTCTTTTAACAACATTCTGTAAGTGCTTGGCAACTGATGAGACCAATTGCTGTAGTTTTGAAAGTGAAATGTTTTCTTGTTTGATATAGGATTTCATCTGCTCAACAGCTTGGGGGCTTATTTGTAATATGTTTCATTAAATAATGCAGCAAATATATTCAGTGGTGACAAGTCTGGACTGCAGGCAGGTCAGTTTAGTATTTTTGTTCTTGACAGAACTGTCCTCACCATTCCAGTGTTTTCATTGGAGACTGTAACACTGCTTGTACTGTGAGTATCCTGATATTAATATCAATAACAGCTATGAATTCTGATGTAAGGATCTTTTCTCTCATCTTCTGTCTTCCTTTTCTGATCCTTCATTTTCTTCTCACATTAACACAGATTTCTGACAGTCTGTGCTACTTTATCCAGCTAGTTCTAGTGATTAAATGAATGCCCAGTGTCTTCACTGTCAGCTTTCACCAGGATGAAGAAAACAAACTGCTGCCATCTAGTGTAGAAAGCACACAGTTAGAATTGAGCATCTGACTGGCTCCTCCTTTTTTAAAGCTCCTCCTCTTCTACACCTCCTCTACCTGTTGGCGGAAGTGAATCTCATACCGTCACTCTGATCTTTCTTCATTCTGCTTTCACTTCACTCAGAGACACCAATGAGGAGCTTTTAAACAGTGACTGTATGTGTTTGTTTCTTGATGTGTGATTCTGAAAGGAGCTAAAACTCACTCAGTGGGTTGAAGGGCTACGGTGGCTGATTCTCAACTGTGCTGCTCTGATCATTACAGACGTCCTAAAAGAGAAAGTGGAGTTTGGACTAAAGGAGCCATTACAGAGAAACAGCACAGCAGCAGTTGGAGGAAATGGCTGCTAGAAACCCTCTTTCAGAAGAAGAGCTTTCGTGTCCTGTGTGCTGTGAAATCTTCAGGGATCCTGTTGTTCTGTCGTGCAGCCACAGTGTGTGTAAAACCTGCCTGCAGCAGTTCTGGGAAACTAAGGGGTCTCGAGAATGTCCAGTTTGTAGGAGAAGATCCTCCAGATCTGAGCCTCCTGTTAGCCTTACACTGAAAAACCTCTGTGAGTCTTTTCTAGAGAGCAGGAGTCAGAGATCTTCAGCAGGGTCTGAGGTGCTCTGCATTCTGCACAATGAGAAACTCAAACTCTTCTGTCTGGATGATCAGCAGCCTGTGTGTGTGGTGTGTCAGACTTCAAAGAAACACAAAGATCACAAATTCTGTCCAACAGATGAAGCTGTGACTGACTTTAAGGTAGGACACTTGCTCTTAGTAAGAGTTTTCTTCTCAAATGAGTAAAGGCCTGTTTTTGTTATGCCTATCTGATGGTGTTTGTGCTCTCTAGGCACAAATAAAGATGAATAAAATGATCAAATCAGTTTTCTTTACTTACCTATGAAAACTAGAATATATATTCTACAATATTATATATCCTAAAGCAAAAGCCTTACTTTCCATCATACATAAATGAATGGCAGAGCTGCAGCATATCAGTTAGACACCCCCAGCAGAACAATAAATCACACTTCAACATTTTCCTAAATCAGATAAAAATCAGACATTAAACTTGTTACCACAAATCACCACACAGCTTCACCCTATATCAAATTAATCCATAAATATGCTAAAACTGTATCATGAACTGTGTAAATATTATATGCATTCAGTCCCAAACCTTCTCATTTGAATATGCTACAATTAATGACACATATGGGAAAAAGGGACTATACCTACTGCTATGATAGTGTAGTTATTTAACTGTTCTGTGTTGTTGGATTTCTGCAGGGCATCCACTTGTTTCATTTTATGATTTTGCTCTTCCTAAATAGGCAGATATATGCACATGTGTTGGTTCTCATAACAATGAATTCAAAATTGGCTGTTTTGCCATTTGATTTCCAGATATAGACTGTTTGGACTGAAAATAGCAGCAGAGCAGAACTACAAGTGGTCCGGCCAAGGGTGCCATAAGGGGGTGGGGGATTAGAATGATTCCAAGGGCTCAAAGAGACAGGGGCCCACAAAGACTGAACCTATTAGGCTTACTTAAACATTCTTCATTGATTTTCTTCATTTATTAAATAATAATTAAAAACTGTGAGTAGATACAGTGACACCAGCACTGTCACCCCTCCAATTACCAGACCACTCTCATATAAACAGTCAGTGGTTCAGTCCAGTCACATTCTGTAAGTTTTTTTTTTTTTTTAATTCAAACGATGTAGCTGCCAAAGACACAAATCAGGCTTTCAAAAACACCAGAAGAAACAGAAAAAGAAGAACCTCTGGAGTTCATGATGTGAAGCTGGATAAATGAGACTGTTTGTGGAGATTTTAGTGAGTTTGACTAATTCAATAATGATCATATGAAAACCAAGGTTCGTAATACAGGGGCTTATGGGGGATCCAGGACCCATTAAGTAACCTTTTGGACCCCATGTCTCAAAATCAAAAATCAAAATTTCCTGGAGTTGGAATAGTGTCAATATCTCAAAAACTGCAGGACGAGTTAGCGGACAAAAATCTGGCAGAAAAAAAAGAATAATATAAACCAGATAAGCATTAATCATTAACTAAATATATTAATGGATTAGTTCTATAGGAAACTGTAACAAAATAAGAGTTATTATAAAAATGTGACACATTTTATGAATACGAAATATGCTGCTGAGGCAAATCAACTGAGATAAGGAGCCCAAAATTACTTCAATCGCCCCTTCTGCCCTGTCTACACGCTGGACCTGTGAAAAGGCCACAATCAATTTATGACAAAAAGAAAGCCTGTCATTCTGTTTTGAGGGGTTACACTCTCTGAGACACTCAGCACATTTACACACTTACTATTAAATACTTTAAAAGACCAGCTAGAACATGATTTAACCTGTGATTGTTCACTTTCAGAATAAACTCAAGTCTGCTTTGGAGCCTCTACAGAAGAATCTGAAAGTCTTAGAGGAAGCTAAACAAGACTATGACCAAACAGCAGCTCACATTAAGGTGAAACATCATCTTGAATTGTGAAACATGTTGCTGAGGTCATGTTTCTGATGAGTGTCCACTTCTCCTGTAGGTGGTAAATGCTTGTAGATCATCTGTTAGAGTTTGTGTTTCCTAATGGTCTCTCATTCCAGACGCAGGCCCAGCACACAGAGAGGCAGATAAAGGAGGAGTTTGAGAAGCTTCACCAGTTTCTAAGAGATGAAGAAGCAGCAAGGATAGCTGCACTGAAGGAGGAAGAGGAGCAGAAGAGTCAGATGATGAGGAGGAAGATTGAGGAGATGAATGGAGAAATATCAGCTCTTTCAGACACAATCAGACACATAGAGAAGGAAATGGAGGCTGAGGACGTTCTGTTCTTACAGGTAAACGTTCATTTATGCTCAGTGTTAAATACAGATATGAAGTCTTCTATCTGTACTCAGCATTAATTCCACCCATGTTTGTGCACATTCTCTGAAAGCTTATGGATATGGACAAAACGAAGCAGTACCACCAGAAATTGTGGGGGCAGTGTAGCCAATAGTTCAAGCAAGACACAACGTCAGTTTCTCTCATAGGTAATATAAGTGAAAATAATTCTCTCTCCACGTCTCGAAATATTTAATGACCTCACAGACTACACCGCTGCTTCTTTTGTCTTTTTCGTAGTAGGTACATTACTACAACCTCCTCCACTCTCGCCATGTTTATTGTTCTCAGCAACTTTTGATGTATTGCTTAACATCCATGCCAACGTAAAAGGCACAAAGAAGCATGTGGGCAGTGATGGTTACATCATTTGAAACAGACGTATTCATTTTCATACATAATGAAAGTACAGCCAATGGGCAGAGCCACGGGGTGGCCAGAGGGGGCCAGTGCTGCTATATCATAAACCTTGGCCACCCCAGTTAAACAAAGTGAGACAGCCTGCCTCTCAAAATGAATAGTTCTAAATGCTTAGTATGCCGCTGTCCAAAACCTGTGTAAATACATTGTCCCTGGACAGTTTGGTTGCATAGTTAATTTTATAAAATAGCTTTAAAACAGCAGAACTGCTCGCTGCTCTCAGTTGACGTCAGCGCAGCACCAACCTCAAAACACTCAGGCAGCGGCCCAAACTGCAGCACTAAATAGGATGTAAAAAAAATAGTGCACCATCATTAGTCGTGCATTCATTAGTATGGTGCGTAAAGCATAGAAGTGCATGGTTCGGAAAGCAGCCTCAGTAATGTTAGCTTAAATTTCACAGAGCGTGAGACTGTGAGGTGCGTCGCTCCAATAAACATAACATCCACATTATAGAAGTGTAGTTTGATACTAATATCAAGAGGACACACTTTGAGAATGTAAGTTTATTGAAAACAGACTAAGCTTCATTGCATTTTAAGTTAAAGTTGTACTAAAGTTTCACTTGGAGAGCTACCTGAATTTCTACTGAACGCACTGTCTGCCAGGGTTACATGAAGAAATTTTCCTCCCTTATATTTTGTAATATAAATCGGGTCAAAGTCTGACCTGTGCCAGAAAATAAAACACTAAAACAGAAATTAACAAATAGCTGCTGCCGTGTGTTGTTTACTTTTCCAGGGTCACTGAGCAGCCTGCAACACTTACACACGGCCACTGTAGTGTGAAGGTTCTGGCTACACCCCTGCTCTCACTCTCTGCTCACCCACTCACTCACTCACTCACTCACTCTCTACTCACTCACTCACTCACTCACTCACTCTCTACTTACTCACTCACTTATGCAAACAAACAAAATGGTTCACAGTGAATGAAAAAGATCGGAGTAAAAACAAGAACAGCATCCCAACAGCTGAGACTGTTAATATTCTATAATATTTATTTCATTGTTGAGGGAGGAGCTTTAAATGAGATTTTATTTCCCTCATAAAAGTGAAAAAAATCACTGATATTTGATTCAAACTACATCAATGATTCTCTTCTCTCTTTGTTTCCCCTCAGAACCTAAAGTCTACAATGAAACAGTAAGTCTACATTTTAATGCTGAGCCATTTTATTTGTGAAATTATGTGTTGACATCTTCAGTATTCAGTGTTTACAGCATAACAAAGCACATTTTAGTAGGAGTCGAGTAGGTTACATTACATTCTAGCATCCATTTAAATGAAATGCCCTGCAAACTGCAAACCAGATTACAAAATGATGTTATGCACTATTTGCATTGTCAGAGTTCAGCACACGACAGATCCAGAAAAGACATCAGGAGCTCTGATCAATGTAGTGAAACACCTTTCCAACCTGAAGTTCAGAGTGTGGGAGAACATGCAGGAGATTCTCCAGTACAGTAAGTTGTGTTTCTCTTAAAGGCTTTTTCAGATATAATCAGGTTCTGGAGTACTGAAGATTTAACCATCATTAACACCTGGATTTTTAGATGTTTATCTGCAATTCAGTCAAAATCATAAAGAAATCTAATGATGGAACAGATAAAAAATCATTTAAAATCAGTTATTTAAATTTTTACAACATTAGAGGACGTAAATTATTTAAGACCAGCACTGGATTTTTACTGGAAGATCACTATACAGCAATAAAATAACAGAGGGATTTAGACCGATACCAGACTGAATATGTGTCCTAGAACAGTAAAGTAATGGGAATAAAGTGCAAAGATTACATAAACACACACTAACCTGATATTTCATTGTGCTCTGTCTCCTCAGCCCCCGTTACTCTGGACCCCAACACTACACATCCAGACCTCCACCTGTCTGATGATCTCACTGCTGTAGAAAACACATACATGGAAACATCACTTCCTGATAATCCAGAGAGATTTGATAAGTACCTGTGTGTTCTGGGTTCTGAGGGTTTTAACTCAGGGACACACTGCTGGGACGTCCAGGTTGGAGACAGTGATAACTGGCAACTGGGTGTGGTAACAGAGTCTGTAATAAGAAAAGGAAACTCTTTCTGGGATTCCGTGTGGAGTCTGAACTACAGTAGAAGCAGTAATAAATACTGGATACTCTGTCCAGGACAGTCAGGTCACTCTCTCCCACCTAAAGAGAAGCTGCAGAGGGTCAGAGTGCAGCTGGACTGGGACAGGGGGAAAGTGACCTTCACTGATCTTCTAACCAACACACACCTGCACACTATAACACACACTTTCACTGAGAGAGTTTTACCACTTTTCTGTAATGTGTCTAATCATCCTCTGAGGATCTTACCAGTGAAGACGTCAGTAACAGTGGAACAGCACAGTTAAAGTTGATGCTGCTTAGAATGAACATTTATACAGGTAGTGAGTGTCTGAATTATGATCATAAGAATATGTCACTACATGTGGTAGCACAGACTGAGCTACCCCGGGTTGAGGAAGGATGCTGGCGGCAGGAGTGAACGTTTCAGCAAGCATTTGAACTTTATGTTCACATCAAACATAAAACACAATGAAAACTGGCCCTTTTCAGTCCCTTTTCTCACATGAGAGGTTTCAGCTCCTTTTTGCTGCTGCTCACCCCTCTTCTCTCTCTGTTCACTCTCTGCTCTGAGCCTTCACCTGCTCTGCAGTGAGGCCTCTGGGATCCAACATTAGGCCTATTAAAGTGGCCTCATTGCAGGATCGGAGGTGCTCAGGAGGTGGGGCTCGAAACTCAGACGCTGTCCCCCCAGGCCTCACGGTTATAATCCTCCCCCCCGCTGTCATCCTGGGCTGTCATCTTAAAGTGTCATTTAAAGTGTCATAGAGTGACTCCTGATATCATTACAACATTAGAAACGTTATTTGAGTGAGATTTCACTCATTTTCAGTGTAGATTTTATTTCTCTATCATCCTGCATTTTTCTCCATCATTAGATCTTTAAAACTCTGCTTTGGTTCAGAGATTAGTAGTTTACTGTGTGAAATAAACTGCATGAGATTATATAAATTCCTGTGTTTTTTCCTCATCACAGCAAAGTAGCGCCCCGCCCTCCACTAGAATAATCACACTCACCTACTCCTCCACTGCAATAACCACACCACACCCACCAACCCTTCACCCACCACCCTTCACACTGTCACCACTGCCTCTGCCGTTTTCAATGTGAATTCGCAGCGCAGACATGAACAAGAATAAACGTGCTGTCATTGGATGCCAGGTTTCCATTGGATTATGTTTTCAAGCCTTTTTTATAGGCAAGTAAACACCTTAGCTTCTGTCATTTAACTGATAACTTGATGTGCCTTCCAGGAAGAATGTTTGCATCTTATTTGCAATTGAAAACATCAGTTTATCACTAAGCTCTAGAAAAACAATGCAATTACTAGGCTACATGGATGACGTTTTAACTTGGAGCACTGAGATTTCTGACCTTAAACTACTGATACAAAATTGATACGTAGGAGAAGTCTAAGATAAGGACGTGTTGCACAGACACCTCTGATAGGTCCATATAGTGTAAAACATAGATTTAATGCCACTTACACCCATATAATGTAAAACATAGATGTAACACAAGCTGGCGCTAAACTCCAGTGTGTTCACACTGCTTAGTCAGCAAGACAGTATCATCATTAAGTCACCACACACTCACAAAGTGGAAAAACAGGGTTATGAACGTAAACATTACTCAGAAACATCATACATACAGTTATACATAGCAGCACAAGACTTCCCTGACCCCGCCTCCGCACCTGTTCCACCCAGTCACACCCCTCCACGGGGTCGGCCAATGAGAGTCTCCTCATTTGAATATGGAATTAACAACTCTACCTTTGCAGATAAGAAAATACTACACTCTTACAAAGGATGGTAGGGTTCTTTAGTCAAGACAATGGTGTTATATATCCACACTCAAAGAACCATTTGCATGATTAAATGGTTCTCTGCATGGTGCAATTCTTCAGACTGTTGGAGAACGTGTTGTATATAGTTACTATATACTACATACTATATAGAACTTTTCTGAAAATGGTTCTATATAGCACCAAAAACGGTTCTGCTATTGTTATGATGTTAAGTTTGTAACAATAGTATAATTCTTTTTGGGTCTTATACAAACCCATTTTTAAAAAGGTTCTATACAGAACCATATACAACACATTTCCCATCAGCCTGAAGAACCATTTTACCAGGCCAAGAACCATTTAAGCATGCAAGTGGTTCTATATAGAACTTTTAGTTCTAAATAGAACCATTGCTTTTACTAAAGAGCCCTTAAAGAACCATCTTTTTTAAGAGTGGTTAAAACATACTGTATAAAAGCTGAATGAAAGTTTGTTTTTTTTTTGCTGTGAATTTCAGATGCCTTTCAAAGACCACAGGGAAGAATATTAAACTGAAAAAAAGAGTAAAATATGTCTCCTTGCCATAATCCAGGCCTGTTTTGTGGTGTATTGGGACGCAGCCCAGTTCTACGCACTTGCTAGGCGTTCTACGTAGAAGACTATTTCTCTTATTGGAGCGCGGCCTTTGAGAAAGCCGTGTGCGCTGTAATGACGGTTATTACGGTACTGATGGCGCTGCGCATATGTGTCCGGAAATAAGCGGGGAGCCGCTCTCCAGTTCAGTTCAGCTCGCTGGGGACGGACGGACTGACGGGCTGATGCTCCGCGGTGTGTCCGGCAGTGACGGGGGTTTGGCGGCCAACGGGAGTGCAGCGGAATGGGCCTGTTAGCGCGGGTCCGGAAGGAGTGGTTCATCGTGGGGATCGTGTTGGTGATCAGCGCCGCTAAGATCGGCCCGTCTGTCGGGGTGAAAGGAGGTGAGCGGAGGAGGAGAGGAGGAGAGAGACGGGCTTATCCTCCACTTTATCAGCCGAACATGCCGCTTAACGTTCTCGCATCTCTCAGTTTCAGCCCTGTGATCTTATCCGGAGAGCCAGCCTCAGTGTGAGGGTCCCTCTTTCTCTCGTGAACTTGGCGTCTGGCTGCAAACTCTGGAAACGGCACAAAACAGCTTTAAAACCTGGCCAGGCTGCTTGGAGAAGCGCATGTGTGAGAGGCATGAGTAGTTCGTGCGTTTAAAAGTGGTCAGACAGGCTTTCTTGGCGACTACCTTGGTCACAACTTACTTAGTGACACGTTGCACTGAGCCAGACCCGGATCTGGCAGAAAAAAGAAAAGTGTTGCTATCAGGCTGGAGTGGCTTGGCTTGTATGGCAACTTCTCTGCTTGACTGACTGAGAATGTGTGTGTATTTAGTGCTTTGTGGGGACCAGATGTCTCCAGGATGAGGAAAAGTGACGTTATGGGGACATTTGGCTGCCCAACAGATGGACCAAAAACTGCAGGTTTTATTAGAAAAATAGAAGAGGTTAAAGCTGATATTTTGCTGAGGTTAAGGTTAGGGTTGGGTTAGATGTCTGTGGTAAAGGCTAGGACTGTGTTAGATAGAGCACAACAGCATTTACATCATATAGAAACGCATAGAAGTAGCCCAAAACGACAGTAATACAAAGCTGCGCTGTGTGTGAAGTCTCTTTAGTCAAAGATGCTGTGTATTCATGTGAATGTGTGTGTATTTAGTCCTTTGTGGGGACCTAATGTCTCCAGTATGATGAAACCTGACATTATGGGGACGTTTGGCTGCTCAACAGATGGTAAAGATGTTCTTTACCAAAAACTGCAGGTTTTATTAAAAAATAAGATTAAAGCTGATATTTTGCTGAGGTTAAGGTTAAAGTTAGGGTTGGGTTAGATGTCTGCGGTAAATGTCAGGGTTGGGTTGGGTAGAGCACAGCAGCATTTACATCATGTGGAAATAGCCCAGAAAGACAGGAATACAAAGCCGTGCTGTGTGTGTCTCTGTAGTCAAAGATGCTGTGTATTCAGAGTCTTGAGGCATTTGGCATTTGCATTTACCTGCATTATGGCTGTTTGCTTTACGCCTGTTTTGTGACAGCATTTTATTAAGTGTACAAATAGGAGGAAACACTTTTACAGGAGGAAGAATGACTCCAGGGGTCTGTGCTTGGGTTATGTGCAGATCGTTCCTTGTTAAGGCACTGCATTATCACGCTATAAGGTGACGGGAAGCGTGATATCAGGTTATAGAAGTACAGCATGTATGTGCACAGTGTCTATGTGATTCTCTCATTGTGATAAGACTGAGTTGGAGCTGCACGACATGTATAAAATGCCATATTGCTATTGTGTTACTAACAGGGCTGAACGATTTGGGGGGAAATATCGAGGCCTAATTGCGATTCTTGCCGATTATTTTGACTTTTTTTTAAATTTGTGATTACTTTGTGAAAATGAAGATCCAGGCTTGTCATTTTGGCCCTGATGATCAGAACATGCACTTTTTCTGCCAGTTTGCCTGGAAGTTGCAGCTGTGTTGTAATGTAGGCTACTCTGCACGTGGATGTTTGGTAGCTTCTGATTTCTCTAACTGGATGGAGATTAGTCTGACTAAATGATTTCTGTTCCGTGATTACATGAATCCATCCCAACACCCACAGAAACTCATCTGGGACGTCTGAGGTTGGTCAAGATGAACTCAAGAGAGTTGACCGTTATAACAGTGCGCCTGGCGTATAAGAGTTATAGTCCCGCCTCTTTAAAATCAGATTATTTATTTAATGCTGCATCTTCCTGCTTGCCTCTTTAGACAAATAGGGCTGCCTTGAAATATTGCTAGTTCAACCAGCCTGACATGCTGCCTGCTGTATTATGACCGTCTCACCTGCTCTCCCTCAGGTCCTCTTCGGCCAGAGATCACCATCACCTATGTAGCCGTATCGACCATCTTCTTTAACAGCGGCCTGTCCCTGAAGACCGAGGTGGGGTTTTTTAATGAAGCAACGCAATAACAATAAAACAATAAAAATACAGTATTCACATTTACAAATATCCATTATTGGAATAAAGGACGCCTTTAAAAAGACTTAAAACACAGAGTGGCCTGTTTTTCAAGTTCAGTCACTTAGTTTTGTTGACTGCATGATATGTTTCAGGGTATATCAGTGATTGACTCTTCATTCTCCCTCTATTTCTCTCTTAATCCCTCCCTTTTAGGAGTTGGCGAGTGCGTTAATGCATGTGAAGTTACATTTGTTTGTTCAGACGTTTACTCTGGTGTTTTTCCCTGTGGCCATCTGGCTCCTTCTCAAAGTGCTGGCGCTCACTGCTATTAATGAATGGCTTCTCAAAGGGTGAGTCCAACACACAGACACAGTCTCGTCCATGTGATCAGTCTCTCTAACTCTAGGACTCTTCCTCACTACAGCACTCTATACTTTTTAGGTTACACGTCTCTTTCTCTCCCTACCTGTGTGCGGCTAAGCTGAGGCTGAATAGAGCCTCTGTCTCCAGGTGGTTGCTATGTATTACATGGGTTCCCTGCACTGGGGCTACATTATACTGCTGTATGAGCTCATTCATGTACCTGCATATTGACACACAAACCTCTCTCAGAGCTGCTCTGTTTGCACTGGGAGCAAATGACTGTTGGAATGACACTTTCTGAGGCTGCTGGTGTTAAAGCCAGTGGACTGCGGTCATTTTTAATTAGTGTGGAGTCCAGCAGTACGACTCCTGATAACTGGCTGTCATACGTGTGTGTGTTAGTGCTGATTATAAAACAGATGGTTCTAGCTGTAAACTCTGATTGGCCGACGACGGTACTCAGTGTGAATACACAGTGTCCAGCCTTATGACCACACACATCAGGTGAATTCAGCATTTATGGGGCTTTAAAGTTCTTCTTGATCAGATTCCTGATCAAACACTCCTGTCTTGCTTTTACTTTGCTCTTAAATGCAGCAGCAAGTTTGTTGAGCCATACTGGGCTGCTAAACAGGGAAACGTCATCAGGAGCAGATTTTTTTTAGGTAGTTTAATTCTCGGTCGTTTTGGTTGTTAAACCAATTTAAACCTTGTTGGGTGTCGTTGCCTAACAATAAACAATAGAAATGGACTGAATAAAAACTTCAAAATATTTAATTGGAATAAAGGAAGCCTTTAAAACGACATAAAAAACACAATGTGGCAAAATTAAATTGTGTATAAATGTCAGGTCATCCCATCCTGGCCCTGATCTGATCAGCTTGGGCCAGGAGCGCTAAAGGACAATCGGGAATCGATTGTGTCCATTATGTTGCTTTTTAACCATAGCCAACAAACTAAGTTGCTAAGAGGAAGAGTTGTT